CCTGAGCCCCTCGGCGTCCACAGCCACTCCCGGGCCGCCCGCGCGGGACGCGACCCCTCGGGAGGAGCCGGATCGCACCGAGAGAGCCAGCGGCGTGCTGTCCTCTCCCGCTTTGCTCGCCTTGTCTCTTCGCATCTGCTTATTTATCTTGCTACCGTCACTACTACTGTTCCGCTCAGAGATCCTAACGCCAGTTACCCAGATAAACACAAGGACCCATTCAGAAGCTGTCGGGAAGTCGGGTTTCAGAAGCGCTTCCCAGCAGCGAGAGTCCGCGTGGTTCATGACAGCGAAAGTCCCGTTCTTCCAGCTGGAGATCAGCTCGGCGGAGAGTTTCAGGAGTTTAAACATAAGCGTTAAGCTCCCTCGTGTTTCACCTCGCCTCCCCTGGGTTTGCTTTCTAATCTACTGTGAAATACGTTTTACATAGCATTGCGTTTTCCCAGGCAGGCGGACCAGTTTTCAGTTGATGATACACTTAGATCGCATTTTCAGTTGCTTTTCTAAGCTTCCCTGTGAAGGAGAGGCCGTTCTTTTAACCTTTGTTAAGCGTTGGCATAATTACCTCATTCATTGTACCTAAGCAAGAAGGGTTTCTCTGCCTTTCTGTGAAAAACCTGAAGACGCTAGAGAGGACCTTCTTCCTGAGAGTGACTGACAGAAATTACTTGTCACTGTTGACCCATGTACATTCAGATTCTGGGTGAAGCCTCTTGTGACACAGGTTATTTGGACCCAGAGCAGAGACTGAGATGTACTGTGATGTTTAAAACAGGACTGGGGCCTGCGATTTAGTTCAGTGGTTCCGCCACCTGCCTTGCAAGTTCAAGGTCCTGAGTTCTATTCCCGGTGCCAAAAAAAAAAAAAAGAGAAATAAATACGATTGGCACATTTGGGCCCGATGGCATCTGAGGTGACATTTTTGAGAATATCCAGCATGAACCCATTACTCAATAGTTTCCCAGGAGGCAGTGTTAAGTGACTTTCACAGCTCTTAACCCAAAAGCTTTAATTCCCTTCATTCTGATTTCACAACATCAGGGTGCTATCCAATGTGTGGGTTTTGGTGAAATTGTCAAATACTCAGCTTTAAAAATAGTTCTATGGGGCTGGGGATTTAGCTCAGTGGTTCCGGAGCCTGCCTTGCAAGTGCAAGGGCCCGAGTTCACCCCCTGTACAAAAAAAAAAACTTCCATGGTAGCAGACAGGAGTTATTTGATAGAATAGATTCCAAGGTCACCGAAATACAGAGTCAAAACTTTTATAGCATTGAGTCCCTCAAATATCCCAATAGCATAAAAAATCCTGACTAGACTGTACAAATATGATGGTAATCATTACTTTTATAGAATGCCCTGTTAAAATGTTAATGACAATCACTTCATTGAACAGAAACCTAGCCTGCGATCATTTCCTGAGTGAATTTCCCAGCTACATCTACATCCCTGAATGGTTTTGTTTGACCAGCTGATGTGGTCAAACACAGTGGTCAGCATAGTGGGCATCTCGTCTTGTTCAAACATTAAAGATGCCCTAGATTTTCTTCTGAAAACATTTTTTGAGTATTCCCAGTAAAATATTCCTAACAAAAGTTTCATTATCCTGTTTTTTTTTGTTTGTTTGTTTTATATTTTTGGTTTTTTTGAGACAGGGTCTCACTGTATAGTTGAGACTGACCTGGAACTCACTATGTAGCCCAGGCTGGTCTCCAACTCACAGCGATCCTCCTGCCTCAGCCTCCCAAGCACTGGGATTACAGGTGTGCCCCACCACACCTGGCCATTATCCTATTTTCAGTCATAAAAAAATAATAGCCTACTTCATGGACTTTGAACCGGAGTTTATTGAACCTAGCCTTAATCAGTTCAACAGGATGGCACTTTACCCTTCGTAAATAAATGGAAAACATAAATTGCTTTTATTTTCCTTCTGGTACCAGGGATTGAACTCAGTACCTTGCACTTGCAAGGTAGGTGTGGCACCACTGAGCTAAATCCCTGACCCCAGTTACTTTTTTAGTTGTGTTGTTTATTTAAGGCCCTGCCACTCCTGGGAATGCTGCTAAATGTTAATGATTTCCCTTGTTTTTAAAGGTGGGATATGAGCCTCTTCCTCCAACAATTGGACGGAATATTTTTGGGCGGCAAGTGTGTCAGCTTCCTGGTCTCTTCAGTTACGGTGAGTGTCTTGGATTTATTGGGGAGCAGATGATGTTGAGGCTTAGCAGGCCGGAGCTACTAGAGAAGCTAAGGCCTCTGCGACATTTTCATGTCACCATTTCTCTGCACTGACCTGAAATCTTGTTTGTGTTCCTAGCTCAGCACATTGCAAGCATCGATGGGAGGCGTGGGCTGTTCACTGGCTTAACTCCAAGACTCTGTTCGGGAGTCCTTGGAACTGTGGTCCATGGTAAAGTTTTACAGGTAAGAGGAAAAGCAATTCACTTTCCCCTCGATTTTAGTAGCCTTTTATGATCAGTTTATTCTACTGATTTAGAGCACTTTTCATTCTGTTTTGTTGAGACAAGGTCTCACTGTGTCGTTCAGGCTCGCCTTGAACTCACTGAGTAGCCCAGGCTGGCCTCGAACTTGGAGTTATCAGCCTCCTGAGTGCTGGGACTAAGGTGTGCACCACCACACCTGGCATCTAGTGCTAACTTAATAACAGGTTGTGTATTAAAAACTTTGAAAAGAAAAACAATTTAAGGTGAGCAGGTGCAGTGGTGCGAGCCGGCAATCCCTGCACTCTGGAAGGCTGAGGCAGGGGGATTGCAAGTTGGAGCCCAGATTGGGCAACCTAGCCCCTTAGCAAGGACTTGTCTCAAAAAAAATTTTTAATCAAGATGTATCATGTGAAGGTACAGATTCCCACTGATGAATGTCATCATATTATCTACTTAAAGTTACCAATTAAAAAAATTTAAAAAACAATTTTAAAAAAATTCAAAGGGGCTGGGTTGTATCTCAGTGTGGGTTCCATCTCCAGTACCAAAAAAGAAAAGAAAAGAAGCCTCCAAGTCAGGAGAGTGCTTATTTATGGGTAAAGGAAGCAGGGCCCCTGCGTGGCGGTGCTTTTCCTGGCCTGTGTGGATCGTTACCCATGAAGTATTTACGATGCTGTGCACTGCATGTGGGGCCTGCTCAGATCACACAGCAGTGCAGGGCGCTGGTTTCCTTTGAGGAGGGAAGGACAGAGGGAGGTCTCGAGCTCCCCTCTCTCTGCGGCTCGGCTCTGGTGTGTGGAGAAGGCAGAGACCTGAAGCCCAGGGGCGGGCAGAGGGCCTGCCAGGCCATCTGCTCCTGTTTGTGTGCAGGGCACGGGGCCGCAGGCAGCCTTCCTGGCGTGGAGCAGTGGCAGCCCTTGGAGGGCATGTGCCCTGCTGGTGGGTGTGCAGGTGAATTTTAAATTTGTTTTGATAGGTGTGAGAGATGCTTTCCTGTTGGGGTCATCGCTGTTTTTCTTTAGGTGCCAGGCGTGGAACGTGGGTCCTGTGTGCTGAGCATGTGCTTTACCCCCTGAGTGGCAGCCCCAGCCCACAGTCGTTTTTTAACCATCAGTGTGGGGTGAGACCTCAGCTTAGCTTCCAGTCCTGGCCCTGCTGGCCCTGCCTCTGCCACACCCCAAAGCTCCTCCTATCTCTGTCTCTGCCCAGCCTTAGGTCTCAGGTCCTAGCACCAGCAGGCCAGCCTGTGCTGCGTGCGTGTGTGTGTGTGTGTGTGTGTGTGTGTGTGTGCACACGCGTGCACGCACATGCCCCTGAGGCTGCACCAGGGCAGTGGCCTTGCTCCAGGCCCCCTGCCATGCCCTAGGCCTCCAAGGTCTCCCAGCTGTGTGCTGTCTGAGCCCCTGCACGGGCTGCCCGAGAGGTCCTGGACACAGGAGCCTCATGTGCGGAGCTGGGCTGACCCGGGTCCCCCAAGCGGCTGGGGGTGGCTGGCCCAGTCAGCCTCCACAGGGAGGCTGGAGAAGAGGCAGCTGGATGCTGCTCCTCGTCCTCGCTGCCCTACTTCCTGCCACGGACAAAGCCCGTGGGAGGACCTGGGTGCTGGCGTCCTCCAATGTCCCCAGTGACATGGCAGGGCCTGGGAGGGGTCGTGAGGGCTGTGGGGGATGGGGGAGGTCGGAGCAGGGCACAGAGGACCTGGAAGAGCGCAGGTCCCTGCAGGAGGCTGTGGACTTCTGGCTGGGAGTCTGGGTGTGGCAAGGCAGGTGGAGACAGTACACGTGACAAGCATCACAGACACAGTTACTTCTTTCTTAGTGTTCCTTTGGTGTTGCTAGCTGCTTCTTACTTCTGATAGTAAAGCTGGTGGTACTTTGATTGTTCCAGTTTATCAATTACACTTATCACGGTGTAGGTCAGGACGAATTAACTTTACATGTAGTGTTTAGGAAGTGCATCTGCACACAGAACTGCCCTCTGCTATATTATAAAGGTGGTATGTAGCCAGTGTGATCCCGGCACCCGAAGGCTGAGACAGAAGGGTCACTGTGAGTTCAAGGCCAGCCTGAACTGCATAGTGAGACCCTGTTTAAAAAAAAAAAGAAAAAAAAAAAAAGCTAGGGATGTAGCTCAGTGGCGCTGTGCGCGCCTTGAAAGCTCAAGATCCTGAGTTCAATCCCTGGTACTGTAAAACTAAATAAATATCTAGAAGTGAATGAAAATTTTCAAAAAGGCCTGAAACCATTAGAATTGTAGCCATATACCTGGAATATAGCCAAAAGATAGGACTTTGCTTAATCTCAACATTTCTCTTGCCTGTGGGTGGGGTGTGTGTGTGTGTTAGTTACTGGGTTTAGAACCTTGGGCTGGGCCTCTTGCATGCTACCCAGGTGCTGTACTGAGCTATCTCCCTAGCTCTTGACTATGTTTTTTTGTTTTGTTTTGTTTTGTTTTTTTGAAAGGGTCTCACTATGTAGTTGAGACTGACCAGGAACTCACTATGTAGCCCAGGCTGGTCTCAAACTCACAGTGATCCTCCTGCCTCAGCCTCCCAAGTGCTGGGATTACAGGTGTGCACCACCATGCCTGGCTCAACCACCAGTATGTTAAGCTCTGCAGCAAGATCATCTTGGAGACATTTATTGCTGGTTGATTAATTAACAGTAGAAGTTAATTGAAGATTTGCAGAAAAACAAAGTAGAGTTTTCATCTTGTTTCCCCTCATGGGACATGAGTGGCCCTAATCCCCACTCTCTCTGTTTCTTCCGCAGCATTACCAGGATGGGGAGAAGCCTGAGGTATGTTGTGGCTGACTGCTGTGCGGACCCAAGTCCCTTGCAGTTAGGGCACTGGGCCTCTAGGAGAGACCTGCAGCCCTCCTGTTCCATCTCAGCCCAGTGCTGGCAGGGGCAAGGCTGCTAGCGGGAGCCATTCCCTTTCAGACTGACAGCTGGGCATGCTGGCGAGTGCTTGTGACCCCAGCACTCAGGAGGCTGAGGCAGGAGGATGACCGCAAATTCAATGCCAGCCTGGGCTACATAGCAGATGGTGTCTCAAAAACAATCTGTCAAGATTTCTGACTTTTCTGATTTTTCTCTTTAACTTGAGTCTGTTTTGTTTTTTTCTTTTTTAATTTATTTTTGGTGCTGGGAACTGAACTTGGCCTCACACCTGCCAGTGCTGCTGAGGTACATCCCTGGCCCATTAATTTTTTTTATCTGTACATGTTATAGTCGCAGGATTCGGCAAAGGAATACATTAAATACAGAATACATAATTTCTAAGATCATTTTATGATAATTGCCCAAAAAGTCAAATGCAAAGGAGTGCAGGACATTAACTGCACACTAGAAGCCCAGGGGATCCAGCAGAGGGCCTGGATCTCAGCAGTCCCAGGCAGTGCCCTCCTTGAGTCCAGCCAGCGGCCTGGAGCCCATGGCAGCGTCCCACGTTTGTCCGTATCGAGGATGTGCACCTGCAAGGCGCAAAGGCCAGTGGTGGAAGCCAGAAAGCCTGCACCAGTGAGATGAGGGATTTGTGCCACGAAGCTGAGGGTCCACACTGGAGCCAGGAGGTGACAGAGCTCCCCTGATGAGAACAGCAGCCGTTCCCAGCGACAGCGAGGCCGGGAGCTCCTCCAACAGAAACAGCCTAGTTTGCATCAGGAAAACCATCCTCAGCAAGCTTCTCCTAGAAAATCAGTAGGCCAACATCTTCCCTCCAGTTCTCTTTTCATGGCTCTTGGTAACCGTCCTCAGGTGGATCCTCCGCACCCAGACCTCTCTGACTCAGTTCAGCTCAGTGACAAGTGGGCCATCAGTCAGTGCGCCACAGTACATGTTTGCAGTGTGTGATCGCGTCTGTCTGCGGAGTTGGTCTGTGTGCACAACGCATCTTAATTCTCCTTCATTCCCTCTCACTGCCCTCCTTTCTCCCTCCAACTCTTGATCCCCTTCCCATCTACAAAAAATCTATTTCCATTTTTTTGTTTCTTTTTTAAAATGCCTTTTCCCTTGCCGGGTGTGGTGGCGCACGCCTGTAATCCCAGCATGAGGGAGGCTGAGGCAAGAGGATCGCTGTGAGTTCCAGATCAGTCTGGACTATACAGTGAGTTCCAGAGCATTCGCAACCACATAGTGAGACCCTGTCTCAAAAAACCAAAAAGTAAATAAATAAAATGCCTTTTCCCTTTCTTCCCTTCCCATTTTCTCCCTTCTCTCTCTCTTATTTTCTTTTTTTGTTTGTTTGTTTTTGGTTTTTTGAGACAGGGTCTCACTATGCAGTTGAGACTGACCTGACCTGGAACTCACTATGTAGCCCAGGCTGATCTCAAATTCACAGCGATCCTCCTGCCTCAGCCGCCCACATGCTGGGATTATAGGCGTGCGCCACCATGCCTGGCCCATTCTATCTCTTGTTCCCCTCCCCATTTGAAAATGATCTCTACTTTCCTTATGTCTTTTTTTTTTTTTTCCTACCAGGAATCGAACTCCAACTTGGGCCCTTGCATTTTCAAGGCAGGTGGTGGAACTACTGAGAAAAATCCCCAGTCCTTTTCCTTTGTGTTTATTTTGCTCTTTATCTATATTTTGGGTTTCTCATGTAAGAGAAATCATGCAAGCTAGGGTGTGGTGGTGCACGCCAGTAATCCCAGCACTCAGGAGGTTGAGGCAGAAGGATTCCAGTGAATTCAGCCTGGGCTACATAGTGAAACTTTGCCTCAAAACAAGAAAAAAGCAATATTTAAGCTTACGTGTTTAATTCACTTACCTTTTTGGTCTCAAGGTGCATCTCTTTTCCTACCAGTGACTCAAGTTTATTCTTCATGAGCGGGTAGTACTCCGTTATGTATAAACACCACCTTTTATCATTTTCATCTGTTGATGGATGTGTAGGCTGTTTCCAAGATTTAGCCGTGTTAGGAATTGTGCTGGCTTACACATGGACAGTAATATGATGTCTTTCATTCTTTTGGGGAGGTCCTAGTAGGGGAAAGCTGGGTCAAATGGAATTTCTAGTTTTTGATTTTTAGGATTGATTGATTGGTTGATTTTAAGGCACCAGGAATTGAACTCAATACCTTGAGTTTGCCAGGCAGGTGTGGTGCTACTGAGCTAAATCCCCAGCCCTTGTTCTGCTTTTTTGAGACAGTCTCACTATAGTTCAGGCTGGCCTTGAACTCAGGAGTGATCCTCCTGCCTCTCAGCCTCCCAAATGCTGGGATGACAGCTGTGTACCATGTCTGGCTAGTTTTAGATATTTTAGGAACCTCCCTGCTGATTTCCATAGTGGTTGTGCTAGTTTACGCTCCCACTGGCAGTGGAAAGGTTCCTTTTTACCCACAACCCTGCCCGCATTTGTTATCATTTGGTGTGCGGCACCCCCAGGGATCAAACTCGGGACCTTGCGCTTTCAAGGCAGGAGGTGGAACCACTGAGTTAAATCTCCGGGCCCCTGGGTGCTATTTTAATTTGCATTTCTCTGGTGGCCAGCAATGCTTGAACATTTTTTTCATGTATTTGTTGACCATCTGTACGTCTCAGAATTGTCTGTTCATTTGGTTGCCCATTTTTTTGATGGGCTCTTTTATGGGGGGCCATCTAATTTTTTTGTTTCTTCTCTGGTTTTGATTTCCAGGAATCAGGGCCTGGAAGTGCACAGAAAGAAGGCTCGCCCTCCTTTGACCAAGTTATCAAAGAGGTGAGAGGAGGTCGCTCCCTGCTCTTTCCCTGGTACTGAGCTCACGCGGCCCTGTAGAGCAAGGCTGAGGCCGCAGCTTGCTTCTCTGTGTCCCGAGGGAAAGGGCAGCAAATGGGGTGAGGACGCCGCGCCCCACAGTGAATGTACAAAACAGCTGCAGCGACAGACTGCTGACCGCCCAGGCTCAGGATGGCATGGCGGGCATCCCCTCTGCCCTGTCCCCAGCCGACGTCTGATCATGTTGGCGTGTGGCACGTTCACATTGTCACAAGCTGTGCTGCAAGCCTTGCTCTGTTGTCTTTAAAGGGCTGCACCTGTGGGGACCGGAAGTGGCCTGGCAAAGGCAGGCACCGTTTCCTACGCGTGCACTGTGAGAAGCGGTTGTGTCTTTGGTTGCGGAGACCGGGTTTCAGTATGTAGTTCCGACTGGCTTTGAACGCACTGTGTAGCCCAGGCTGGCCTCCCTGCCTCAGCCTCCCAGCTCTGAAACACAGGTGTGTGCCACCACACCCAGCAAGAAAACATTTTAAAATCTTAACAAATTGAGTTCTCCTCCTTGTGTATCTTAGAAGATAGGAGCAGCACTTGCTGTGGAATAGGTTGAATTCAGAGACTCATTTTGCCCTCTCTGGGGGTGGGGAGAGTCGGGCAGTCTCTGTTTATCAACTGTTTTTAGTGTGTACTTAGAGACTTCATTTCACCATGTTTGTGCATACATTTAACATTCTTTGATCTTTTCTCCACCCAGTACCTCTCTCCCTCCTTCCTATCTTTAAAACTGAAGGGGTTTTGGAGCCAGGCCTGGGGAATTAATAGGCCCGTTGTCCCAGCATTAAGGAGGCTGAGGCAGGACATTAGAAGTTGGAGCCCAGCCTGGGTGATTTAGTGAGAAAATAAAAATAAAGCTGGGAGGGGATGTAGCTTAGTGGACAGGCTCTGGGTGCGGTCCTTGTACCTGAAAGTAAATAAGTAAATTAGTTAGATAAGACAGGCCTTGGCAGGGCCCTGAACTCACCCTTAGTAGTGAAAGGGAGAGGCTTTCAGCAGTAGGCACTGGCTTCCCTCGCCTGCAGTCTGCAGCCCAGCCCTGCCACAGAGAACTGAAATGCGGCCCCGCGGTGGGGACAGCCCTGCGGCAGGAGCCTCTTTTACGCAGCTCGCAGCTCTGGGGAGGAGGACGATCCCGGCAGGGTGGGTGGCCTGCGGCATGCACGTCTGCTGTGCTTTGGGGCTGTGGGGCGCCTCCCTGGTATCTGTGCAGCCTGCGGTTTTCCCCAGCCGGGCCACTTCGTGTCCTGGCCATCAGGATCTGTGAGAGCCACCGGGCAGTGCCACTCCGATCCATCCAGCCATCTCGGCTCTGGGTGGAGGGCACTGCGGTGCCATCATGGGAGCCTAAGTGTCGTCTGTTCATTGCTTCTAGACAACCCGAGAGATGATCGCTCGCTCCGCTGCTACCCTCATCACGCACCCTTTCCACGGTACGTCCTGTAGCGCCCTCCTGGCCACTTAGGTAGACGAGTGCGCTACACCTGCTATTCTTTTGGTGTCATTGGGGATGGAACCCAGGGCCTTTGCACTGAGCTACATCCCCAGCCCTTTTCGAAATTTTGAGATGGAGTCTCAGTAAGTCGCCATGTTAGGCTCAAACTCCAGGCCCTCCTGCCTCAGCCTCCTGAGTGCCGGCCTGACAGGCATGTGCCACCCCGGCAGCCTTTCTCCAGGTTTCGCAGATGGTAGAGCGTCCTTAGGTGGAAATGCCCTTTTACTTTTGAGGCTGTCTCTGCCATCGTAGTTTGACGAGTCCTTTCTGTGTGTCCTACAGTCATCACTCTGAGATCGATGGTACAGTTCATAGGAAGAGAATCCAAGTACTGGTGAGTGATCTCAGCGTCGCTCCAGGGAGCTCCTGATGTGGGGTAGGGGAGCCATCTGCACGATTCCCCCTCACCACACAGGTCTGCAGGGCTCAGCTCTGCTCTGCCTGGAAGGCAGGACAGGAGGAAGCCGGGAGGGCGGGCAGGCAGGCGGAGTGGGGCCACTGAGCCCTGGCTCCAAGCTGGGCCTCAGTGGGGCAGGGGAGGAGCAGGCATGAGGAGGGTGTCCTGTGCTGCGCCTCAGCGCCGTCCCTTTCTGTGTGCGCAGCGGGCTCTGTGACTCCATAGTGACCATCTACCGAGAAGAGGGCCTCCTGGGATTCTTCGCGTGAGTACAAGCTTCTCTGTCCTCGGCGGTTCTTGTGAGTAGAAAAGCTTTCCTGAAAATGAGGGCAGGGAATCTTCATTTAATCCCCAGAGAGAATGTGTTCCCTGGGTTTATTTTACCTTAGGCTCCTTTTAGGCCCCTTCTGGCCTTTCTTGTTGTAAACAATCCCAGACCTCTACCCAGGCTCAGTGGTCCATGCCTGTTTTCCTAATTACTTGGGAGGCTGAGGCAGGAGGTTGCTAATTCAAGGCAAGTCTAGGTAACAGAGACTCTGTCCAAAAATTTAAAAAGCGAAAAGGGCTGAGGCATTTTCAGTCAATAAAATTAGGGAAATTAACTTTTGAAAAATAGGAAAATCATCTTCACATTTATTTTCCTTATCCCGAGAGAATAAAGTTTCGTACTCTGGAAGAACTTAGTCTACTGCACTCATTCTACTAACAGAAACCTGGAAGCTGCGTGTGGCGGTGCAGGAGGCTGAGGCAGGAGGTGGCTAGTTTGAGATCATGTTTCACAAAGAGAAACACAGGGTTGGGGTGCGGCTTAATGGTAGGGTGCTCACCTAGCACAGGTAAAGCTGCAGGTTCAGTCCCTAGACCTGCAAACACAAAAACCTGGTGTTATGAACTCAATGGTCTGCTTTTAATTCAGACTGCCTCCACATACTTGAAAGTGTTTTCCTACTCTTTCTTGAGACAGAGTCTTGCTGTGTAGCCCAGGCTGGCCTTGAATGTGCTGTTAGCCTCCTGCCTCAGGCTCCTGAGTGTGGGGATCACAGGCGTGCGCCACTCCACCCGGCTTGAATGTTTTCTCACAATGCTGCGAACTGAACCCTCAGCCACGCACACACTAAACACATGCTGCCTGCCTTTACTAAGTATCATAAATACTCTGGGCATTGGGCAGGACCACTAGCATCAGTGCCCTTTGTAGCGGCGTTACCAGGCGTGGTGGCACCTGCCTGTAATCCCAGCACTCTAGGAGACTGAGGCAGGAGATCGCTGTGAGTTCAAGCCCGGCCTGGGCAATTTAACAACTGTCTCAGTTAAAAAGGGCTGGAGATGTGGCTCAGTGTGAAGGCCTGGGTTTGGTCTCCAGTCCGAACGGTGGGGCTCTTGCTGTGCATGCGCTGCCTCTCACGTGACGACTGGAGGGCTGGGCTTGCACCTTCCCTTCGGTCTCCCACTGTTCCTCTACGTAGTTCCCTGTCTCCAGAAATATGTTTGTTTTTCACTACTGTGGCTCAAACCCAGGGGTGCTTTACCACTGAGCTTCATCCCTGACCCTTGGTAATTTTTTTCATTTTGAAACAGTCTAAGTTGTTCAGGTATGATTGAAATTTGCCATCCTCCTGCTTCAGCCTCCTGTAGTGCAGCGATTACATGTTTCTGATGTCCCTCATCTGTTTGGACCCTTCTTATCTTTTGCCCTGTCAAAGTGGAATATGGGATAGTTCCGTAAAGCCATATTTAAGTCTTCCCCAGAGCACCTCCCACACCATGGGCCTCGCTCCTCGCAGGTCTCAGTAGTAGATAGAGCGAACCCTGTGTCTTCAGAGTGGGCCACAGGGGTCAGGGGGGCGCTCGTGGGCGGGGATGGGCCGGACTCGGGCTGGATGTGTCCTGTCGCGGGTTTGTGTTGAGTGGGTCCCTGGCTCTCATCTCCGCGTCTCCTCACCAGGGGTCTGATTCCTCGCCTGCTGGGGGACATCATTTCTCTGTGGCTGTGCAACTCGCTGGCCTACCTCGTCAACACCTACGCACTGGACAGCGGGGTAGGTGTGGCCGTAAGGCTGAGGGGCCTGGCCAGGCGGAGTGTGATGGAGGTGGGGCCCATGAGGCGCAGAGATGATCTGCGCTGCTGGCTGCGGAGCTGTGACCCCGACCGTGGGCGAGCAGCCCCTCCGCGTTCAGGGCCTTGCAGGGCCAGGTTGGAGCAGAGTGAAGCAGAGGGCGGCTTCAGCCTGCGCGTCGGGTTCTGTGTGGTCGGTGCCTTCCGATGCTGGGGCAAAATACCTGACACCCATAATGTTAAGGAGGAGGGTTACTGGGGCCCACGGTTCCGGTCAACGTTCCGCTGGTTCCAAGGCAGGCAGGATGCAGAGGGGCCTGGCGAAGGAAGGAAAAGCAGCTCCACTATGAGCCCAGCGGGTGGCGGGGCGGGGGAGGCCAGGCCTCAGCGACCGCCCCTTGCGGTCCTCAGCCTCCTGTGGCACCACCGCTCTGGACGGATGCGCTGCCAGTACAGCGCCCCACCTTTGTTTGGTTTTCTTTTGGGTTCTGGGATCCAACTCAGGACCTTGCCCTTGTGAGGCAGGCAGTGGCACCACTGAGCTAAATCCCCAGCCCTTAACACCAAACCTTTGAATACAGGAGACTTTGGGGAGATGTTAGGTCTAAACCCTAAAATCCGTGAATTAGGATGTTTAGGGGATGCCAGGGCTTTCTAGAAAGACTGAGAAGTTTTGCAGGCCGCCCTTTGCTGAAGGCTGTTTCTCCTGTGCACTGCACCGGCTTCACATGGAGACGGCTCCCTCCTCCCTGCCTCAGTGGGCCCCCAGAGCTGGCTTCGTACAGAGCTAGGGAGTTGTCTTGGGTACGCTGTAAGCAGAGTTTTGCAGGGGATGTACTTCTAAAATCAGAAAACTTTTTTTTTTTTCTTTTAAACAGTTGTGGTACCAGGGATCGAACTCAGGACCTTATGCTTGCAAGGCAGCTATGGCACGACTGAACTAAATCTCTGGCCCTGGAAACTTTTTTTACCCATCTCATTTTTTGTTTTGTTTTGTTTTTTTTGAGGCAGGGTCTCACTATGTAGTTGAGACTGACCTGGAACTCACTATGTAGCCTCAGCTGGTCTCGAATTCACAGTGGTCCTCCTGCCTCAGCCTCCTGAGTGCTGGGATTACAGGTGTGCGCCACCACACCCGGCTTATTCTTATATTTCTTTTTTTTTTAATATTTTTTATTTATTTATATTTTTACTTTTATTTTTTTTTTTATATTTCTTATAATATTGAGGTTATTATATTAAACCCTTCTAGGGCAATTCATATTTCTGTGGTAGTTGTGAAATAAGTTGGATCATTCTGATTGCTGGCTTTTATGCTCATAACCAGTATTTTATGTTTATCCTCAAATTAATTTTCAAGTGGGGGCTGGGGATTTAGCTCAGCGGTGCCACCGCCTGTCTCGCAAGCATAAGATCCCAAGTTTGATCCCCGGTACCAAAAAAAAAAAAAAAAAATTAATTTTCAAGCACTGGGTATGGTAGCACATATGTGTAATCCCAGCACTCAGGAGGCTGAGGCAGGAGAATCACCACAAGTTTGAGGCCAGCCTAGATAACACAGCTCAAGGCCCACCTGAGCTACACAGTGAGACACTGCCTCAAAAAATAAAAAATTTCAAGCTGTCAAAGAAAGAAGTAAAATATATTGCTATGCCTTTGGGGGTTAATGTTGGCTTAATTTTTTTATTCATTCTGATAGAGGCTCTTTTCTTGTTTCAGGTTTCCACCATGAATGAAATGAAGAGTTATTCCCAAGCTGTCACAGGAGTGAGTTTTTATACTTCTCTTAACCTTCTAGGGATGGTTGTGTTTTCTTTAAGTGTGGCCTGTAGCCAGGTATGGTGCATGCCTGTATTTAGGGAGGCTAAGGCAGGAAGGTGGCGGGTTTGAGACCCTGGGAAGACAGGCACAGACCACCAGACCCAGCTCATCATTGACTTTTTTTTTTTTTTTTTTTTTTTTTTTTTGCGGTAGCAGGGATTGAACTCAGGACCTTGCACTTGCCAGGTAGATGGGGTGCCACTGAGCTACATCCCCGGCCCCCATCTTTGACTTTCATAGTAGTTCCTGTTGTCTTTGGAAGGATCCTCCGAGTTTGTTTTCTGGTGTTTTCTTTTTGGTGTGGGGATCAAATTCAGGACCTTGCACCTGGCGGTAAGGCGTGGCGCCACTGAGCTCCATCCCCAGCCCTGCCGTCTCCCTAAAGGGAATTTTGAAATGCTCTCTCTGTGTGGGTTGTACACACTTTTCTCCTGCGTGTGCAGTTCAGTTTCATTTGCACGAGCACTGGGTCCCAGATAGGAGCAGCCTCCTGCCCTCCTCTTCACACGCTGGCTGGAGGCCGGGGCAGCCTTCAGCACCGGCTGCTCGGGGGCCTCAGCGTGGTTGTGAATGGGAGGCCGGCCTGGGCCACTTGGCAGGGCCTCTGTGAAGAGAAAACGTGAAAAGCTGGAGAAAGGCAGAGAGCTGGGGTGCGGCCCGGTGCCCAGGCCGCGCGTCCAGCCCCGGTCTGACACCACCGTCAGGCCTAACGCAGCTGTTCCGTCGCAGTTCTTCGCCAGCATGCTCACCTACCCCTTCGTGCTCGTGTCCAACCTCATGGCCGTCAACAACTGCGGGTGAGTCCCCCGCTCCTCGCCGGGCCCTGGGCGGACCCCGTGTGGCGGCGGCTCTCTCCTCTGCCTCCTCACCTCTTGGCACTGGAGAGGCACCGGGAACGGCTCCAGGGCTGTGTGCCCTGTGGGGTCGATCCAAGCTGCCGGGGCGTCGTAGGTCCTGGACTGTGGGGGGCCGGGGTCCTCCTGCGTCTGGACCTCTGTGTCCTGTGAGTGTGTCAGAAGGCGTCAGGCATGAGTGACAGCCGGTCCGCGTTCCCTGCGGGGAAAGCGAGTTCCCAAGCAAAGCCGGCCTCTCCGTTCTCAGTCTGCTTCAGAAGAAGGGCCCTCGATCCCCTGGTTTGTTCCCCGCGGCTCCTGTCGTGTGGTGACAGCAGGGACACCGGGCAGGAACGGAGGTCGGCAGTGCGCGGTGTGGGAACAGCAGTCAGTTTTTAAGTTGCGTCTTCTCTGATTGCCGTGCGCAAGAGTTTCATTTGTCTGTTAACAAAAATTGGGCCGGGGATGTAGCTCAGTGGTTCCAGCGCCTGCCTCACAAGCACAAGGACCCGAGTTCGATCTCCGGTACCCCAAAAAAATCATAAATACAGGAAAGAATGAGTCTTATTGGCGATGTGACATGAAACATGCAGGGATCGCTTGGAGCTGTCTGGTGCCCTCCTGTGTAATTACTCTCATCAGAACAAACCCACCACGCCGTGACTAAGAAAGTAGAGCTAAAACTGGCCCGCCGGGCCCTTGTGGGCTGGACGTGGACGTGGACAGCGTCTTCTCTCTTTTCAGGCTGGCCGGGGGGTCCCCTCCCTACTCCCCGCTCTACTCGTCCTGGATAGACTGCTGGTGCACGCTGCAGAAGGAGGTACTGCTCGTCCCCTGGGTTCACTGTGGCCGCACCCCCGCCCGAGCAGGCTCACGTCCGGATGAGACAGAGGGTACAGGCCCGCGCGCCGGCCCGGCTCGTCTCTCTGTTCCCCTAGGCGCCTGTGAACCCCAGCTTAGCTCTGCAGTCGCCCTTCACAGGCGCTGCACCCTTCTCGGCCATCAGCAGCAGGAGCCCGGAAGGGAGCGCCACCGAAGAGTCCTGCGGCTCCAGCCGTGAATAGGGTCCAGCCTGGGCCTGCCATCCCGGCACTGGGAGGCGGAGGCTGAGGCGGGAGGATTGCCACAAGTTTGAGGCCACCCTGAGCGACGTAGAGAGACCCTGTCGTAAAGAAAACATGCACAGCCCAGGGATTTAGCTCAGTGGTGCCACCGCCTGCCTGCCTCATAAGTGCAAGGTCCTGAGTTTTCAATCCCCAGTAAATAAACAAAAACATGCACACCCCCCAAAAATGAGCAGCTAGGACCCAGGAAGGGGTTTATCCTCATTGTCTGAAGAACAGCCTTGATTTCCGACTGTTTTCACATTGTGTTTGGTGAGGCGCGTTCTCGCTGTGCAGCCCAGCCTGGCCTGAATTCTGGGAACCCTCTCGGCCTCCCAAGCTGGGATCAGGCTTGGGCCCCCATGCCCGGCCCGCGGGCGATGTCTTTCCTGCGGCCTGGAGGAGATGCTGGTGTCTGCACGGCTCTGCCTCCACACCTCACCGCGGAAGCCTCGCTGGGCCCGGGCAGCGCTTCCGGAGCGGCTGCGCGGACAGGAAGCACAGCCTGAAGCCCTGCAGGGGGAGCCCAGAAGGAGCGCTGGAGTCTCTTCCCGTGGCGCCCAGTGTCAGAGGCCTTTGTGCACAAAGCCAGGGCGGCCAGGCCAGCGTCAGAGTGGACGGGGCTCTAGTGCTGCGCCGTGGCTCTGCAGGTCCACGCTGGGCCCCTGAGGACTTCCCTGTGCTCCCTGTAGCCATCTGGGTTTCCCATCGTTGTTGTTTTTACTATTTTTTTTTTGTTTTGGTACCAGGAATTGAACTCAGGACCTTGCACTTGCAAGGCAGACATGGTGCCACTGAGTTAAATCCCTGGCCCCTGTTGTTTTTAGTTTTTGTTTTTTTTTTTTTTCAGAGACAGGGTCTCACTAAGGTAGTTGAGACTGACCTGGAACTCACTATGTAGCCCAGGCTGGTCTCGAACTCACGGCGATCCTCCTGCCTTAGCCTCCCAAGTGCTGGGATTACAGGTGTGTGCCACTGCGCCCGGCCTGTTTTTACTTTTTGAGGTAGGGTCTCTGTGTAGCTCAGGCTGGTCTTGAACTCCTGTGATCCTCCTGCCTCAGCCTCACAGGCATGTACCTTCACACCCGCCTGTCTGGTTTTCTTCCCAGCTTTATACTGTTATGAACAGACTCCCAGTAGGATCCTCGTTTTAAAGGAACATGGCCTCTTCGCCATTCACAATAGCTCCCTACTTTTGGAAGAAAGTCGGTAGAAGCCAGGCGTGGTGGCACACGCCTGTAATCCCAGCACTCGGGAGGCTGAGGCAGGAGGATCGCAAGTTCCAGCCCAGCGTGGGCAGTGTAGCCACTTAGCAGGACTCTGTCTCAAAAATAAAAGGGTTAAAAAGAACTGTGGGTGTAACTGGGTGCAGAGGCCCCAGGGTCAGTCCCCAGCCCCCGACAAAGAACCCCTTGCCTTACTGAGAACGGGTTGTCCTCAGTCCCAGGGCTGCCCCTAACCCTGTCCCTTCCCCCAGCCTCACTCGCTGCTCTGCCCTCTTACAGGGAAACATGAGCCGAGGGAACAGCTTGTTTTTCCGGAAGGTCCCCTTTGGGAAGACGTACTGCTGCGACCTGAGGATGCTGATCTGAGGGTGCGAGGCAGGGACAGTGACATTTCTGTAGTCCCAGACGCACAGAATGATGGGCGAGAATGTTGATTTCTATACGGTGTGGCGCGTTTTTTAATAATCACTTGATCTTGGGAAACGGAGGTGATGGTGTCTGCCTGTTCTTCCTAGCACGGCACCGACCCCGGTCCCCGCAGTGGCACTGCGCGGGGACCACTGTGCCCCTTTGTCATTTCCTGTAAGCAGGGAGAAGTGACGTTTCCTGAGGTCGGCCGTGAGGGGTGGAAGTGGGGAGCTGCCCAGGGGCGCCCTCGGCCCCTGGGCTCGGTGCAAACCCAGGAGCGCAGCTGCCTTCTGTCCCGAAGCTCGCGCTGCCTCTGTCCCCTTTGTGCGGTTACTGAGGGAGGCGAGGGCTTTGCTTTTCGCCCCTGGGAAAGCATGTCTGTCACCCCACCTAGCCGAAGTCCCCAGCCTCCCAGGACACGGCCCGTGTGTCACACCTGCAGCCAGGCAGTTAGCAGCATGAGGGAGGAAGAGCCACCCCGCCCAGCTCCTGTCCCGGCCTGTGACTGAGCAGGCGCTGTCCTCCGGTGGTCAGAGCTCTGGGCCCAGCAGCAGCTTCCATTTATATTCTCAGTACTAGTGGCGTTTGTTTCCACACACACAAAAAAACGTTTTCATTACCTACTTTTTTCTCCCAAAAAAATCTCCCAGTAAGGCCGATCGAGACAAATGTACACCTGACCCACCTGCCTGTCCTGGCCAGGGAGGAACCAGGCCGCCAGCAGGGGGCGGCAGGGCTTTGGCTGTGCCCGTGCCAGCTGCCAGCTGAGGCTGCCCAGGTCTGGAATCACAAGGGCAGAGTTGGACTTTCCCCGGGTATGGTGGAGCACGCCTGTAATCCCAGCGGTTGGGAGGCCGAGGCAGGAGGATCGCTGCGAGCTCTAGGCTACCTAGCGAGACCCCTCTCCAAAAAGCAAAACACCAGCAGAGGCACTTTCGTTGGCTGTGCAGGGCACGGAGCCACATATGGAGCAGAGGGTGAGGCCCTGGCCTCCGCCTGAGCACTGGGTGGGCGTCCGGTCGCTTCAGTCTTGCTGCAGGTCCGCTCCGGAGCTGTGCACAGGGTCATCAGTAAAGCTCATGACCTCAGTAACGCCACACAGGAAGAGCACCCCCGGAAGGATGCCCCAGAGTCACCCTACCTTGACTGAAGACAAGTGGGACTCGGCACGATTACAGAAGTGCCGCGGCAAGAGCAGCCTTGGACTGCACGCGGTAGCTCGCTGTGATCCCAGCTACTCGGGAGGCGGGAGGATCACAAGTTTGAGGCCAGCCTGGAAACTTCCTGAGACCCTGTCTAGAAAGAACCCTTGAGGTGTCGCTCAGGTAGAGCGCTTGCCTCGTGTGCAGGACTTGGGTCCAATGTCCCATACGGCAAAGAGTAAAAAGAAGAAAAGCAACCTTAGGATGAAGGAAACTTCAAACTCCAGCCCTGTACGCCAGCTTTTCGTTCCCTAACCCACTGTGGCTTTGCTATAATTTCCTAGGTTAGAAGAGGCTGCCCTCTCCCTCTCGCCATTGGAATCTTTTCTGTAAGATTCGATTTGTTTTTTTTCTTTGTTTTGGATACAAGTTTCAAACTTACAATTCTCCTGCTTCAGCCTCCCCAAACAGCTGAGATCACAGACAGTTCTAGAGCGCGCTCCGTTTTGCTGCTCCATCCAGTCTCGCCGCTCCCTGGTCAGGCCACATGGCCCAGGAAAGTGCGCGGTGCTTCCTTCCTTAAACCAGAGCAGGAAGAGCCGAGGCCTGGTGAGCCCAGTGGAGTTGGGTGGAGAGGCGGGAAGCATGTACAGCAGCTGCCACAAAGGGAGGGAGCTCCGGGGCGGACCGTCTGCTGCTGCAGCTCAGCCCCTGCCTCGCCTTCCCTGAGCCCACGATCGGAGCTTGTGAATAAAGCTACCAAGTGAACGCGGGCATGGGGGCGCCTGCCTGTGGGGGAGGCTGAGGCAGGAGAACTGCCCCAGTTTGAGGTCAGCCTGGGCTGCACAGTGAGCTATCTCAAAAAAAAAAAAAAAACCTCTCCTGGCTGGGGATTTAGCTCAGTGGTGCCACCTGCCTCACAAGTGCAAGGTCTGGAGTTCAATCCCAGGTATCCCCCCGGAAAAAAAAAAAAAATTCCTCACCTCCGAAAGAAACGGGGTGGCGGGTTAGCACATGCCTGGCTCAGTTGTTACTGGTATGCGGCAACTGCCTTGAGGGTCAGTTGTGCAGGCCCGACCTGGGGAGTTTCTGCCTCACCTGTGACGAGCACCCAGATGGAGATGCGCACACCCGCACGTGTGGGATGAAGGTTGTACTGCCCACAGCTGTCCCCACCTGAGGTCTTTGGGACCCTCAACCCCTCTTTCTTCCCAAGCCTGCATCTCGGACTTCATTTTTCAAACTTAAAATTCTGGTTTTTTAAGACAGTCCCATTGTCATTCAAGCTGGTCTTGGTTGGACTCACTCTGTAGCCCAGGTTGGGTTCCAGCTTGCAGCCATCCTCCTGCCTCAGCCTCCCTAGTGCTGGGATTCCACGTGTGCGGCACCACACTGGGCCTCCAATTTGACTAAGCACAATATTGTCCTGATATCCTAAGCTAGAGACTGGCGGGTCTGCCCCTGCTGCTAGAGCTACCACTAGATGGTTGGACATGTCCCTACAACCTCACCTCCCCTCACCCACCTTGGCTGCCGCAGAGCCTTCTGTCCTGTCACCATGGTGGGCTGTGGGAGGAGCAGGCCCTGAGGGGCACCTGTGACCACCTTCCTACCTGGCTAATTTCAAAGGCAAAAGTCTTGCTTAGCCTGGTGAGGTGGCACACTCCTGTCATCCTAGCACTTGGGAGGCTGAGGCAGGAGGATCTCAGCCAGTTTGAGGGCAGCCTGAGCTACATACTAAGACTGTCTCAAATAAAAGAAGAAAGCCTTTCTGAGCATCCTTAATACTTCTCACCTGGCATCTTCAACCCTCTCTCCTGCCTGTGCTGGCCCCGATATGTGGCCCCCGCAGCTGCTGTGTCTCTTCCTGCGGCTGGGAGCCGGGCTATTTATAAACAGCAGTGGGTGTCGCTATGCAGTCACAGCCGCCTCCTGCCCCCCAGTCCTCTGGCCGCCTCCCCAGCTTCGAGTCCTGTCCTCCGCTTGGAGCCACCTGAAGGGGACATAAGCGAGGGCAGCATCTAAACAGCCATTCGGGGTGACCGCCAGGGCCCACTAGTGGTGACCGGTGCTCCCTGCTGCCCCTCCAGCCGCCCTGCTCACCTCGATCCCAGGGCTCAGGAGGCTGAGGCAGGAGCATCAGAAGTTCGAGCCCAGCCCGGAGAATAGCCACTTGGTGAGAGACCCCTTTTCAAATTGCCCTCAAAACATACACAGCCGCATAATCAAAACCCTGCTTCTGTTTCCCGGGTGGAAGGGCTCAGGAGGGCCGAGAAGCCCGACTGAACTCAGTTTTACAAACAAAAAGAATTCATTGGCTCAAAGGACAGAAATCCAGGGGTTCGAACAAGGCCATCCGTGTTAAGTAAACGCCCCCCCGGCAGCGCCACGCACATGGCTTCTTAGAACTTGTCATTTGGCCCTGCAGAAGACCGCAAAATTCCCGGGAGGACCCTGGCCCGGAGTCCCGGCTGCTGCCAGGACGGAGTGCAGGCCGCTATGGAGGGTCGGGCGGGTGACCCCTGCACCCAGGGAAGCTGAGGCAGGAGGGTCACCGCGAGCCGGGCCTAGCCCGTAGGCCACAGAGACGCCGCTGGCCAGACAGCAGTGAGGGCCGCAGGGACTCCGTGGGCAGGACCCAGGGGCCCCTGCTGGAAGCGGAACACCCAGCCCCGCGCTCCCTCCCGCTGCACAGAGCTCCTGCTGCGTGGGACCCTCGGGGCTCCCTCACCGCCATCTGACGCAGACCCTGGGCTGAGTCTGAGCCCTAGAAAAAGCAGTGCCGCCTCCACAGAGGCCGGCAGCGGGAGAAGCTCTCCACTTCCAGTCAAAACACTGAATGCCTCCAAACTAGGGAGGAGACAAACAGTTGAAGCTGGGCGCAGTGGTTCACACCTATGATCCCAGCATTCCGGAGGCTGAGGCAGGAGGGTCACTGTGAGTTCCAGGCCAGCCTGGGCTACATAGTGAGTTCCAGGTCAGCTTGGACTACACAGTGAGACCCTGTCTCCAAAGAAATGAAAGAAAAGAAAAAAGAGATTGTCCAGTTAGGTGGGTTTATAGGCCGTTTAATCACCACGCCCTTTTAGCCCTGTCGTTATTCAGTCAGTGTGCTTCGGCCAGGGGAGTGTGACAGTCACTAACGGCCACCACCCTGCTTGTGCACAGCAGCACTGTTGGGAGCAGAAGCTAATATTTAGATGTCAGAATCAAGCTTCTAAAATAACTGGAAACAGTGGGCTGAAAGCAGCAGGATAAAACTGAAAAGAAGTGGGAAGGCCTGCATTTAGATTAAAAGAAAGAATCAGCTGCACGAGGCCAGAAGACACAGCGGGGCGGGAGCCGCAGGACACGGCTAGAGAAGGCGGCTCCCCCACGCTTGGGGTCCTGGGTGTGGAGGGGAGCGCAGTGGGCATGAACCCCCAAACCCTCTGCCTCCCTGGGCTCTGCATGCCTACTCCAGTCACCTAGATGGTGGCACATCGTATGCCTTCCTCCTCTTAACAGTGTATCTGTGTATGCTAGAGTCCGGGGTGGCAGTGCATGTTACTCAGTTACTCAGGAGGCTGAGGCAGGAGGATCACAAGTTTAAGGCCAGCCTGGGCAATTAAGCAAGAACCTATTTCAAAATATAAATTGGAAAAGGGTGAGGCTGTTAGAGCGCTCACCTAGAGGCCCCAGGTTCAATCCCAGGAATGCAAACAAAGTAAGGTACCTTTGAGATTACTTCCTGATTGTCTGGTACAGGGCCCAGGGTACTGTTTGGAAAGTGAGCCCTAGCTGAGCCCTCTGTTGCTGGAGGGCTTTTCCAATACCATAATTTGCCATTATGGACAACGTGGCAAAGAGTAACTAACACAGGTCACTTTGCTCTTACAAGCAATGTTTGGTGAGTAACATAACTGCCAGGGCAGGGCCGGAGTTGGAGGTGTGCGCG